AGAAAGGCTTGATTTCCCTAGAGCCAGCAGCATGAACATCCAGAGCACCAGTCACAGCAGGCAGTGGTGAGAAAATCCCTACCTCGTCATCAGTCTATACGTCCCGTCTCCAACTGCCAGTTCTTGCAAAGAGCAGAGGCTGGTAGCACCCACCGAGGGCAAGGTGAATGCACCCGGCGAGTCCCGGCAGCGCGAGGCTCAATTTAGCCCACTGGGGCTTGGGCAAGGGACACTATTTTGGCAACTTGACTCTTTCGGCTTCGAACCGAAGCTGGGAGGAAAGAGGAGCTGCGTTCTCGCAGCCCAGCTACCAGCAGCGCAGCATCTGCCAATTCATTCAGCACTGCTGGCCCATGCAGCAACATGGCACGCCGCTGTTCCATGTTTGGAGACAGTTTTTACTGGAATAGGAGCAGTCTTCCTGGGTAAAATGATTATTTTTTCCCTCCATGAGAGCTCAGGAGTTTTTTAAAGAGAACTCCGCACGCTTAAAACTGCCTAAGCGCAAGAGAATGGGACATGTGTCGCAGCTTGTCTGGGCAGCGGAGGTTTTCTGCGATACTTTTGCAGAGTGACTTGGAAACAGGGATTAAAACACAGCTGGGGAGGGGCTGGAGCACTCAGAGGCGAAGTTACCCATGGACTCCTCAGCTCGGAGTCAGAGTATGCCCAACGAGATGTTCACGCTTTGCTTTCCTTTCTCAGGCAAAGTGCAGCCTCTTTTCTAAAAGCTGAGTCCAGATTTTTAGACATCAGGAGAATCACTCCGGTACTGGAGCCTGGTCAAGCACAAACAACATCCTCAGCCTTCGCAAAAATACCAGATGGCTGCAGATGCCAGCTCCTTTGGCCAGGCAGCTTTTTTCAGAGAAAAGACCAGCTTGTTGTGCAAGTGCTGCATCCCAGATAAAACTCCGCTGAGCAGCAAAGAGCCACAGAGAAGCCCTTGGAGGGGAGGCATCGAAGCCAATGCATTCCTGTAACGTCGGATTCTCAAGGCTGCGCATACGTTCATATCCAAAGGCCTTCTCCTTCTCCAGAGGGAAGTGGGAGCTACGGAAGTGACTCTGGCTGTGGAAACACGAGTTTCTGAGCAGTTGCGTGCATCTGAAGGTGAAAATGAGCTCCGGGCAGAGTTGCCAAATCATTAGAAACAAATTAAAAAAATACGCCTGGGAATGCAAGAGTAGATAGTTTGGTCTCTACACGGTGAGTTGGTCCTTGAAATATCAAACGTAAGATCTGAAACCACCTAGTGCTCACTGGGTCACACCAAGACATTGTCTTCCTGCTCTGCTAGGCGACACTACTGCAGTTGCAGCGACTGTGTATTCTTGTAGCACCGCAATGGACAGCAGGCAGTAGGATCTCTGGCTCTTTTTGAGGAGATCATCACGGTGTTGCCTCTGCACAAGGTAATATTCTCTCTCTCTGCTGCTACTCAGAAATGTGCATGAGGAACAAGCATGATCTCTTCCATAAATAGGTCAGTGAAAGGATTTGTGCACAGCTTAAGACTTCAAAACTGAATGCAACGCACACACCTTGTGCAATGTTCACAACAGAAGAAATGTCACCCTTCGTACGGTGACTCCATTTCCGAAGACCACTTGCCGCAATAAAAACAAAGCAGCAGCCAACAACCAAACTGGCGTGCACTGGGATTGCTTGATTCCCTGCAACAGCTCTTGTTTTCCACCAACACCTGAACAGGTACCGCAGTGTCAGACTGTGCTTGCTTGAGGATTAAGGATTCATGGGGCTCACACAACTCCAGAACTTTAGGCACCCCTTGCACAAGACAGTGGGAATGCTTAAGAGAACTTACAGTAATCTGACACACACACTGAAGCCCGGTCGGCCACGTGGGCTTTGTAAAAAAACTGGAGATACAATTAGTTTCTATTAAAAAAAAAAGTCTTTTCTTTTGTCTTGGGAGTCCTGAAATGTCTGCGACACAATTAAAACCAACTGAAAAAAGAATGACAATGAGGAGTGGTGAGATGCTCTTTTCTGGGGAGCGTGGGCTGGTAATGTCCTTCTGGAAGCACCTCAGAGAGAGTGGTCACTTTTGATTACTACATAATGTGAGTAATTCTCTGGAAAGACGAGTCCTTCCCGCCTGAATCATCGCAAAGGGGGGAAAAATAACACACTCCAAAAATGGAAAGCTGGACAGCCCTTGGATGCTGGGAGCCGCCCAAGGTTCCTGTGCGGGGGCCACCGCAGAGAAGCTACACAGAGTGAATCCACAACTCCTGCACACATACCTGCTTACGTGGCCGCCCAGAGCTCTGGTGGATACCGTAGGTAGCGTGGCACTAACAACATGCCAAACACCGCGTTCTCACCAAGAAGCCATACTCCTTCAACCCATGCATTCACGCTGCAGGAGGTGCAGGAGATACCGGTGGTTTCTTTGGAGGCTCTGTCTTCTTTGAGAAGTTTGTCCTGAATGTCCTTCTTGGAGAGCCCATTGCACAAACACAAGGCATGGCAGCAGCACAGAAGGTCTCTGGTGCCAAAAACAGCTTTGTGCTTCAGTCCCGGGGTAGCTGCACTTCTAAAAATCTGTGTAAGGCCAGAAGTGGAGAGGAATGACGGGGACAGATCCCCAGCACGGTTGTGGCCATGGGCTTTGTGATACTGGGGGAAAAAGGAGCAGCACTGGTATTTGAGAAAGAGCGAGGCTGTTCTTCCCCACTTCTTCCCGCTGGCTGCACCACGGGCTCATCAGCAGTCCTGTGGGTTTCAGAGCTCGGCACAGGGTTCCGACCACCAGCGAGGCAGCTCACACACTTCGGGTCCCACATGTGCTTAAATGCCTGGCTAAACTGGCACCGAAACAGTAACACGAAGGTCCGAGAGACACCTTGAACCCCTACATCTTTATGTAGACATATATGGTTACATTTAAACACAAGAATTTTTTTTTCTTCATGCTAATCCTCCAGAAAACCAGTTTGGTTTCCATTACTATATATAGCACTGGGATTCTTGGTCTATTTTTTGTCCCTTTGCATCTGATTATTTTCAGTAGAATTCAAACTTCTTATGATATGCAGATTTTAACTAGAACATGACTTCTATTCATAGAGACTTCCATTATTAATAAACCCACAACAGCCGCATATAATGTAGAAGAATTTTATTCATACTGTAATCCTGTCCCATCATCCACTGCAAATATTACAATTATTTTCAAAATGTCCTCGAATATCATTTTGTTTGTTAAACGGTTACACTTCTCTTGAGATTGCTTATAACAGAACCATAATCCAAACATATTTTCCATGAACAGTAAAAGTTTAAAGCAAAGAATCTGTGTTGTATGTGTGTGCTCGAGTAACTTCCAAACAGTGAGGCTAACACTTGGTGTTTAACAAGAAACGTATCTTGCATATCACAATTTTTTAACAATACAACAGAAATGCAATAGGTAAAAGAACATACATGAGTGACCGGTAACCTTTAAAAAATATTCCTTTTAAAAATCGCACAAGAGAATACAAAAACACTGAAGCAAATAAAAAGATTTCCAAATGCATATACATTTACCTATATATATAATGGGGGTCTGCCTATATAAATGTATGTGATAAAAATTGCAAGGTTGAAAAATATGAATGGTCATACTTAGTAACACGTGCAAGAAGCATAACATAATCATTATAAATAGTAGCCACGAATATACACTGACAGGACCACTAAAAATCTGCTGAAATAAATTAAGCACCTTGAAGTGACGGGAGGATTCTGAAGTCGAGAAGCAGTCAGCTCTGTAAAAACCACTGTGGGCAGCTACTGGAATATTGGGCCCTCTTGGTGGGAGTCGAGAGGAAAGTCCCAAGTTAGTTTTTGTTAATTCCAAAGAAGAAAGCACATTGCGTGTCAGTAGGAGTAATTTTGGCCATGATCTTCACTAACACCTCTAGTTTCAAAAGGGAGATCGCTGCCTTACTTCATTGCATCACCTTTGGCATGTAGAAGGTACAGAAAGTTCCTATTTCCCCAGAAGAATGTTATCATAAAGAAGAAATACAGTTTTTGCCACACCTGAAGAGCGAGCAGTGCTGTTTAGGCTAGCTGAGATGCAGAGCTTTGCTGCTGTTAGCAAAGACAAGTTTTCCTTCAAAGGAAAAGCCTCCCAAAGAATAACCTAAATGATCCCATCCTTGAGGGCTGCACAGCAGAGTAAGGTCTGGGTCTGCAAAAAGCTCCGTTCAAGAGGACACCCGTGTCCAGGCAGGGCAGCAACAACGGCCAACGCGTCTACACGCACCTGGAGGGACCCAGGCTCTAGGAGCTTCTTGCGAGATCCTGGTGCTTTTTGTTACGCGCCACGTGTTTTGGAGGAGAGGCAGCATTTTGAAACATGCATTTGGCTTTCAGAAAACACTAAAAAATCCTAAAATGTATTCACATACTAAACGAAAGGTCCACTGAATTTAATTAAGTGGACCTTATTAAGAACAAACCGCTGCTTTTGCCCCTGATGTACACCCTGCACCATCTCTTCAGCATGTCATGTAATATTCAGAGACGTGGCTGAGGACGCTCTGCTGCAGATAAGTATCTTTTGAAGCCCACTTATATCAGCAGAGAAGTTCCTGTTGGATTTTTAAGGGATCTAATGCAAGCCCTCATTTAAAAAAAGCTGCAGACAAATAACTTCGGTCCTAAAGGCTCCACGTGAATGCTTACAAAACGTCCCTTGCAGACTGGAGGAGGCTGTTTGGCTTAGCATCTCCTACAGAGCAGACCTGAAAGGTCTTGTAACATGGAGGAATATGGCCCCTATATCTAAGCCACAAACAAAATTACTCAAAAGCTCTACTTTTCCCTGGCTTGCTGGAATGATCAAAACCTTCCTTCAATCTTCCCTCTTAAACTGCATGTCTGCCACTCACCTCACGGGATTTCAGAAACCTCCAGTCCACAACCTGTGAAAAGTCCTTTAAAAGTGACAGACATAGGGACATCGCTTGATCAGAGAAGTCTGACAAAAGGTGAGTAAGACCAACTTCAAAGATAATAAGAGAAATAGAAATTCATATGGATTTTAAATAGTTACAAACACAGTTTCTAGCTATATGATCCAACAATAGGTAAAAATCTCGCCTGCAAGCCAAGAGCCGAATCTTCCCCAAAGCTAGTGTTACCCAAACAGTTGTCTTCCTACTTACATGATACATGAGATTTGAACTGACATCCAGTACATGACATAAACAGAAAAAATACACATAAAATGCACACCTTTTATTTTTTTCTTCATAAAGCTATGGAGCTGCACAGAGCGAATTTAAGTGCACAAGGTCACACAAAGGCATGATTCCAGAAGGAATCATTTAGACGGTGAGCGAAATGAAACTGTTGTATCTCTGAATGTTTCTCTTGAGGATTTCGGAACAAGGACCGAGCACTCGTTCGAAGCGGGGCCGATCCAGCTTTACACACTTCAGGGGTCCGCGTGCCACCACCGTAGCAGCCCGGGGCCGATTGAGCAGTAACGCTATCTCACCTGGAAACAGGGATAAATACGCTGTCACGCACCCTGTGCCTCTTTTTCAGAGGGTGCATATTCTAGCCACCATCCAGTTGCTTTGGTTGTAGAACATCCCCCTTTATGTATCTCTTGATAGACACTTTACATAATTCTGTTGACAGTACAAATGCATTACACATGCATAATGCATGCGTGTAAAATGCCTTTGAAAACAAATGCTTTCAGACTGTTTCGCTGATTCTGGATCTGTCTCCTGTCAGCTACATTGGTGTAAACCAAGGAATGGTTTCAGCTTCACTGAAATCTCTCAGTATTGCTGAAAGCAGCAGCTGACCTACGCATAACCCCTCGCTTGTAAAAGAGTGGAACACTAATTTAGACAGTAACTACTTGATACAACTCTGTCTGCCTGTCTTTCTGAACCATACTTAAGCTGAATTTTCTTACCAAAATAATCTGATGGGCCAAGTCTTCCAACTTCGATGTACTCCTCGTTGTCAGACCTGCGCTGCAGAACAGATGCTGTGCCCTGGGAAGAGAAGCGCAGAAAGTCAGTTGGCTTTGCTTAAACCTGTTATGCTTTAAAAAGTACCGAGTCCTGAGTATTTCCTTCTGCATATCACACTGCTTTAGTTCTGTACGAGAGAGAAGACAATTTCAGTCAATTCCTTATATATGAATGAAAGGAATTAAAGGATTAAAAAAAAAATCTATCAGCATGGCAAACGATTTCTCCCTTACGAATTGTCTGGATGCAGACAGATTCAGCTCACGCAGAAGAGAAGAGGAACAGGACAGAACTCAGTAACTCCTATTCAACTAATGCACATCATGCTGTGCAAATGTATGCTTTAATGTAATTTAAAAATATGTTCTGCGTGGATGCAGAACCTTACAAGAGACACAGAAAAGATTTACATCGTAAGGAATAAAAAGGCAATTTTCCCATTCACAGTCTTGGGACGTGATTTTGTAAGACAGCAACTAGAGTTTATTCCTCACCTGATCATTCACTGGATCTGTTGCTGAAATGGTTGGTAAAGGCGGTTTTTAATGCTTGTTGCAACAAAAGGTGATTTTTTTTTTTTAGCAGCTTTGCCCGCTTGTGGCCTGTAGTGATCTGGACACCTGCGAGTCAGTAGCTGGAGAGATGGAATGTGTCTTGTCTCCACTACCCTTAATAACTGCGGTACTTGACACGTGCTAATACATGTCAAAACGCAGTTACAGTCTATTTAAACCTTCAAAGAGGTTTTACATGCAGAAATATTCTAACCTGGAGGAAATCTTAAATTATTGTGGCATAAAGCTTTTGTAGAGGAATAGAGACGGTATCTGCTTAAATTACAGTAACATACAAAATTATCTTCCGAGTCCAAACCAAAAGCATAGGGAAAGGCAAAATGTTAACGTATTTTGATTTTAACTGAAATTATAAAGATTTTTAAATAGACTGGAGAGCCATTTTTTCACAGCGAAGCTGGTGAGCATTGATGTCTCCATTTTTTTTTTAAGATTTTTGGCTTGGAAAGTAATACACGGAGACTGATCCTGCCCCAACCAGGACAGGGAAGGGGAGGACACACAGTAATGTGGACTATGCTCGGAAGATTGATGCCAGTTATTGGAAAATATCACAGCCCTCGCTCTGCAGTTGACACCCAAGCCTGGCATTGCTTGGCTCGTCGGCGCTGTCGGTGCCTGTAACCAGCTGCGGGACCACCCCACCTTGGGGCATAAACCTCCCTCCAGTGCAGAGTATTCAGTGCAGACTCACTGGCTGCAAATATCCTGCAGCTGCCTTCCACCAAAAGAAACTTGTGTGCCTCCGGGTGTGGTGGGAGGCGTGAGGAGACACTGAGCACCCTGAAACACCTTGGCTTCGACGCAGTTAAAGGCGCTCAGCACCCTGCAGAACCAGCCCTTCACCTTCACACTGTGTTTAAACGCACCCTATAGTATCCCAAACATCGTCACTGAATTGCAAATATAAACAGCAATATAAGGCTGCTTGAGGTCTGGCTTTTGCTTTTCTAGGACCTGGGAGCCCAGGAATAACCAAGAGCAGTAGAATATCCACTATTACGTAGCAAATGATCATGATTTGCTTTCTTCTGAACACGCACTACTAACATGCTGTAATACCATTTTATTGCATCATGTCCTATTTCATAACAGGGTTATTTTTAAGCCCATATACCTTACAAATTGCTGGGCCACTCTCTAGGTTAACTTATAATGTAACCTTTATGTGCTATATAACTGAAGAGGTAAATCTTACTTCTGTTGATGCCAGGAACCAGAAACAAAAATCAAATTATGTGCCGGTATTGTCTGACACATACTAAGCATCTGATGGTTTTTCTACAGACTTGGATGTACATCAAATTAATCTGACACATTAGAAATTATAATTTCTCATTTTGCCCATTAGCAGTAATGTGTGCTTAGTACAAATCCCTAGATATCATCTGTCAACACCTTATATTCATCATGACAATTTAGCTTTCCACCCCATCACGCCCTATCGGTATTACAAAAACACTGAAGAGACACCAGGGCTGTAAATTGAGGACCGATGAAAACAATCACAAAACTCTGCTCAGCTTCAATGCTTTCACTCTTAATATGCCAGGCGGCCGATGGCAGAAGATACAGAACCATGTGATTGGCACAACGTGCATGAGCGAGGGCACCTGAACTGGGCAAGGTTGTTCAAAAAAAGCCAAACATACAGGGGAAGGCTGGTTTTGGTCTTTTGTGGGGTTTCTTTGGGGTTTTAGCTACCTTTAGAACGCCATGCACATAGAACTGTCCACAGCAAGTGTAAGGCTATCCACAGAAGTAACTGGAAGAACTGGATATAAGAAAGGATTTGGTGCCTGGCAAGTTTCCAGCAAAAATTCCTTATCCTTGATATAACTAAATTGTTCTGCCAAAGCTCCTGTTTTCCAAGATCTTCCAGTAAATCTGCAAGGGTATGAAAATGCACAGGTAGTGTAATGAGTTTTGTTATTCACACTTACTGCAAGTTTTCAGAACAAACACGCATTCATAAGCAACATTCTCGGAAATACCGCATACAGGGAACAGTGTGTGTATCGACCTCTCTCTTGCCAAATTTCAGATCAGGTGCAGCTCTCTCCATTGATGCTGTTCTTATTGCCTGTGTTATGTAGATGGATTCAGCTTCAGAATCGCTTCCAGCCCCCGTCCTCCTCTCCGTCCCCATCTGGAGCCTGGCAAAAACCTAACCCCTTGACCCAAATAGCTGTCTGCAATCCATGTCTCCAGTCTCTTTCCCAAAACTAATTTTTTAAAAAAACTTTTATTACAGATGTTTTATTACATAAACAAAAAAAAAAAATCCCCAAAGTAATCATATTGACCTCCCAGGTCAAATGAAGAAAGGACTCAATTCTCCACTGCCCACCTTGAGCACGTTGTCTTAAAGGTAAATCACAATATCAAGCAATATTGCTTTCATCTCCCCAAGTGTCAGCTTTTATTGTGGCTAATATTTTTTTGACAGGGTCCATATGATATAGGACTCCAATAAGTCAGTCTTCTGAAGCAATTTCTTCCACTGTTCCACTACAGTCGGCCTTTTTAATCCAAGAAACACCATGATATCTGTTGGAGGAGGACAGATGTGTCTGGCCTCCACAATAAACACTTGGCTTGGCAGGATAAAGCAGTGCGTATTCCAGATACATATTTTTCCACTCTTGTTTTAACAGTCACATAGGCTTTTCCCGTTGCCCAGTGAGAACAGGTCTATCACAGAGCACAAGAAGTTTCCTGAAACCCTGACAGCGAGCACCCAGATGCAAGATCTGATTACGCCACTTGGCCTCTCATTGCACCAGTCACCAGCTCCACAAGTACATCCTGGAGTATTGTCAGAGTGACCTTCACGGGAAGACTGTCCACACCATGAAACAAAGAAGCTGTATTTATAATTATCTGTCTGTATCACCTTGACTTTGCATGTCTTATCTCTGGAATCAACGCTATTCTGACTGTATTAGAGGAAGAGTCCAATTGTAGCTGACCAGTGTAACCAGGGCAAAAATAATACAGAAATAAAATAATACAGAATAAAATACCACAGAAACAATCCTTTATTACCCATATACTTAATGAAGCTGTCATACTAAATTAATTCGGTGCTGATCCCTACCTTTGCTCCCATCACAGGTCTCATGGCTGTGTTTCATTTTACTTTACTTGTCAAATCTTTCCGACACAGTTTTTGAGTTTTCTATCCTTCTTGTGCTTTAGCAAACCCTACCTCCTATAAACGATATGACTGAATAAATCTCCTGAGCCCTGTCCCAGGAGGTACGGGAATTACCTAGCAAGGATTCAAGGGGCTTATCACTCTCCCTCCCAAAAGCATTTGGTCTTGGTGGGAAAGATTTCTCCTTAAATGGCACACAAAACTTGGCAAGATGAGGCTCTGAAATAAACGGCACGATCCTAGATTTGCAGGATCAGGCTATTTAGTGCTGCTCGATTTAAAATACTGTCTTGTACACTGATAGCCATTTCAGCCTCCTACACCACCAAGCAAAACCTACAGAGCACAGGCTCAAAGACTGTCAAGAAGTTTGACACCATTTAATAAATCAGCACTTCGTGATGATATTAAACTGAAGGCAGACAGGCATGTCTTTCTGCTAGCAGACGCTTGGGAGTGAAATTATCATCTTTGGTGGATCCAGGAATATTCCCTTTCAGTCACTGGGGAGTGCCTGTATTCCCAGGAACCGATATCATTAACCTTCTCTCCTCTCCTCCAAGTAAATACGGGCATCTTATTGCAAAAACAACAAGAGTAGCAGTTCCAAAAGCAATGTGCCATCACCACCTCTCTGCCACCCTCACCCCCCGCACCTCCTCACTCCCTCTATCACAGCTCTGTCATGGTGCTGAGAGTATTTATTCGTGTCTTTCAAATGCATCAGCAGTTTGTTTTGTAAAAATTTATGGCTTAGATACGGCACCATAATTTAAGATATAAAAAGTAAATTAAGGTTTATAATCCATGAGCTCCCATCCTCCCCAAAGTAATGAGATTTTGATAGATGTTTCACTGTTAAACAAAAAGGACCGAACGGATGAATTCCTACAGCATAAAGACCCATCTGGATCAACATTGAGACTCCCAGGCCCTTAACCTGCCTGTACTTATAAGTGCAAATTGCTTCAGGAGACCTATTTTTATATTTAAGTATGACTCCTATAGCCAGCAGTTGGCCTCAATAGCTTGGCTACAAAAGGCAACTGTTCATGATGCTCAAAACTGAAATTCTGTATTTTTAACTCTACTCCAGCTCAGCGGATTGGATGGGATCATTCCCGGGCAGCACAAGGCAAAATGTGGCAGCGATGTGTCCACGTTACCTCTGGGTGGGACAGGCTGTGCAGTATGGTCCTTCACCAGAGGCAGAGGGAGGGAAGGGAAACTCAACACTGTTCTAAAAACTTTTTGGTTTAAAAGTCAATCTTGTTGATATTTTGATT